CCTCTAACGGCCACCAGAGGCTCCAGCAGTCAGTCAGCCTCATATTAAACTAACTAATGAACATGTGTACAGATGTGCTCGAGCTGTGTGATGTCATTAGCTGGTGATTCTGATGAGGTCGCTCGTGAGCTTTCTGTTTATCTGTGATGCGTTCACTGTCTCGCTCTGTGTCGTTACTCCTGAACTATAATCCTGGTTCAACCATAAATACAGTTCATCATGTGATGTGTTCGGACTCACCCCAGATCCTCACCGCTCCGTCCTCCCCCCCGGACAGGATCTCAGCCTCCCTCTCTCTCACACTCACACAGTGGACGTAGTCCGAGTGACCCTGAAGGACCAACTGAAAACCAGAGACAGACGCACACAGTTGAGCTGCAGGACCCAACACAAACCAGAACCACAACAAACCAGAACCACAAACAAACCCCCTGACTGACACACCTTGAAGACTCCGCGCTCCAGGTCCAGGACGTGGACGTTGTTGTCTCCCCCACCGACTATAAGACTGTTATCCTGAAACACACAGAGCGTCACTCAGCCTCCGTCCTCACAACGGACCAAACTCCAGAGAGAATTTACTCATTTTAAAGCTGCTTCAGGTTCTCCTGCTGTGTGGACTCACTCTGGGGTTCAGGACCATTGAGTTGATCTCCGGGATCTCCAGACTGGATCTGAAAACAGAGACCACAACAAAGACCTCAGTGACTCCCGTCAGCAGGACGGACAGACAGGCAGTAAGCAAACAGAAATACATGTCTCTCACTTGTAGTTGGGTCTTTTTGTCCACAGGGGTTTGACATTCTGAGGAGACACAAAGTCAAATATGAGACAAAAGTGAAGCTTCAAACGGTTTAAAGATCAGCGCTGGAGCAGAGGAGAGACGAACAGACGGTTTCATTCAGTTTCATTCAGTTTGAGGTGTTGATTATCTGCGAGGTCAAATGACTGGTGTTCTGAATGGAGTCTGGTTGGCCGTAGCGTGCAGCGTGGCAGTGAATGTGTCGTCAGATGCTTCAGTCTACATTCGTTGTGGACAGAATTTAAAGACACCTTCTTGATGAGCTCGGTCCAGCTCCAGGCGCTGATCTCTCCGTTCCCGGCGCTCAGGAGGTGACAGTCGGTGGACAGGAGCGAGAAGACGGGACCCTCGTGAGCTGAAGGGCGGGAGAAACACAGGAGGTTCTTCAGCTCAGTGTTAGCCTCGTGCTAACGCTGAGTTTTATTATAAACTGTAACACATTTATCTCTCAGTGACTTCCTGTTTACACAGCTGACTGCGGCTGATTGGACTACAGATGTTTCCTAGCAACAGATTTAAACGTCACTGAAGTCTTTATGAGCTCAGACGTTTTAATGTTAAAAGCAGATTTATCGATCCAATGAAATAATAAATAACAACATGGTTGTTTGTAATATCATTAATCATTAATATAATGCAGATTAATGCTGATAAACTGTGAAACCAAAGAGAATAAATGCTCCTATAACGTCTCACCTGTGAATGTGAGAACAGGTTTCTGACTCTGTGCGGTGGCGTCTGGACTCAGAGCTGCAGACAGGCTGAAACACAGTGATTATTGATTATTGATTATTGATTATTGATAGCACATCGTCACACTGATCAAACCCAGCTCCGTCTCTCACCTGAACAGGGCGATCTCTCCGTAGTTGTTTCCAGCTGCCAGAAATCGACCGCAGGGAGAAAAACTCTGAGAGAAAACCGACATGTGGAGGAGCTGCAGGACACAGACAGACAGAGAGACAGAGAGTCAGAGACACAGAGAGTCAGAGACACAGAGA